CAAAGACCACAATATAGTCGTGCCGCCTCGATCATGTATCCTCGTTTCAGTAGCATGTGACGTACCGTTCGACGGTGAAGGAGTCGCTGACCAACTAACCTCGCTGCTTTTCACTCACGGGATTTCCGTAGCACGAGGAATAGTCAATGTCACCGACGGCCGAACGAACTTGCTGTTGACCAATTTCACCTCCGAGCGACGGCACCTTCCAAAAGGCACAACGTTGGCACATTTCGACGAGATCGCAGATGTTCATGACTGCTTTTCAGCACTCGAAGCAACACCTGCACAAGACCCACGTGACCTAGCACCTAACCTTGACGTCAGCCCTACTTTAACTCAGCAACAGCGGGAACGCCTGCTTGTGCTGCTAGACGAGTTCCACGACTGTTTTGCGTCGACCTCAAAAGTTGGCCGGACGTCCTTGACCAAGCACCGAATCATCACAGAGGACACGGCTAGACCAATCTATCAAAATCCGTACCGTGTGGCTTCAAAAGAGCGAGAAGCGATAGAACAGCAGGTAACAAAAATGCTTGAAGACGACGTCATTCAACCGTCGAAAAGCCCCTGGGCATCACCTGTTGTTCTAGTGAAAAAGAAGGACGGCAGCCTGCGTTTCTGTGTGGACTATCGAAAGCTAAATCAGGTTACAAAAAAGGACGTGTACCCGCTTCCCCGCATAGATGATTCGATTGACAGGCTTCGAAACGCACGTTACTTCTCTTCCATGGACTTAAAGAGCGGATATTGGCAAATTGAAGTAGACCCCAGGGATCGTGAAAAAACCGCTTTCGTGACGCCAGACGGACTGTACGAATTTAAGGTTTTACCATTTGGCTTGTGCTCCGCTCCTGCTACTTTCCAGCGTCTCATGGATACCGTTCTCTCTGGCCTTAATTGGAGAACCTGCCTAGTATACCTAGACGACGTCATTGTGTTTACTACAACGTTTGACGAACACCTTGAACGATTGCAAATGGTCTTGCAGGCCATACGGGCCGCAGGCCTGACGCTCAAGCCGGAAAAATGTCACTTCTGCTTTGAGGAACTGCAGTTTCTCGGCCATGTCGTCAGTTACGCAGGAGTTCGTCCAGACCCCGAAAAAGTTGCCGCCGTCGCACAGTTTCCAACACCATCAGATAAAAAGGCAGTGAGGCGTTTTCTGGGTCTCTGTGCATATTATCGGCGATTTATTCCAGATTTTGCACGCATTGCGTCACCTTTAACTCGTCTCACGAGGGATGACGTTGCATTTGTTTGGGGCGACGAACAGGAAGATGCTTTCAATGACTTGCGGCAACGTCTACAGACGACCCCCGTGCTTGCCCATTTTGATGACACAGCCCCTACAGTGCTCCATACTGACGCCAGCAATGTTGGCCTCGGAGCTGTGCTTGTACAGCGCCAGGATGACGAGGAAAGAGTGATCGCTTACGCAAGCAGAACTCTGTCACGCACAGAAGCAAATTACTCGACCACTGAAAAGGAATGCCTCGCCGTGGTGTGGGCAGTTATGAAATTTCGCCCATACCTGTACGGCCGCCCATTCAAGGTTATCAGTGACCACCATTCGTTGTGTTGGTTAACAAGTCTGAAAGATCCTTCCGGGCGATTGGCACGCTGGAGCCTTAGACTACAGGAGTTTGATATAACGATGGTGTATAAGTCGGGAAAACGACACACGGACGCCGACTGCCTATCTCGATCACCAATAGAGTCGGCTGCTGCTTTTGATGAAGAGACAGCGTTCCTCGGAATCCTCGACACGTCAACCATCGCAGATCACCAGCATGACGATCCTGAGCTACTTGGCTTGATTAATTATTTAGAAGGACGAAGCCAGAATGCACCCAAAGCCTTTACAAGAGGACTATCGTCGTTCTGTCTGCGAAACAATGTCCTTTACAAAATGAACTTCTCGTCAGACGGGTCCACCTACCTGCTTGTCGTCCCTACCACTCTTCGATTCTGAGGTGTTGCAAGCGTGCCACAACGAGGTAACATCTGGACATTTAGGCTACACGCGCACACTGAGCAGAGTTCGAGGGAGATATTACTGGCCTAGACTCACCGCTACCGTGAAGCATCATGTTCGGACCTGCCTCGATTGCCAGCGGCGCAAGTCACCTCCAACGAAACGAGCCGGTTTGCTACACCCTGTCCAGATCCCGACAACGCCGTTTGACCAGATCACAATGGACCTTTTGGGCCCACTTCCCACCTCTAGTGTTGGTAACCGCTGGGTTATAGTGGCGACCGACTACCTTACTCGCTACGCCAAGACAAAAGCCATCCAGAGAGGCACAGCAGAGGAGGTAGCCCGGTTCTTCATAGAGAACATTGTGCTGAGACACGGTGCGCCATCGATCGTTATAACAGATCGCGGAACCGCATTCACAGCCGCACTTTTAGATCATGTGTTGGTGCTCAGCGGTACTATTCATCGCAAGTCGACAGCTTACCATCCACAAACCAACGGGTTGACCGAGCGACTTAACAAAACTCTGGAAGACATGCTTTCAATGTATGTGGACTTCGAACACAAAAACTGGGACGAGATTCTCCCTTACATAACGTTCGCATACAATACTGCGAAACAAGAAACCACACGGATGACCCCATTCAGCCTTGTTTACGGACGAGAAGTAAGAACGATGTTAGACGCGATGCTGCCACACGAATGCGATGACAACGAAACGAGTGCTGACGCGTTTACTCAACGCGCAGAGGAAGCCAGGCAGCTCGCACGTCTGCGAATATACCAACAGCAAGAGTACGACGCAGGCCGCTATAACCAACGTCATACACCTGTAACGTACGAAACCGGGGACAGGGTATGGGTGTGGACGCCTGTACGAAGACGGGGACTATCCGAAAAATTGCTCAGGAGGTACTTCGGACCTTACCGAGTGCTGCGACGACTAAGTGACGTTACCTATGAAGTCGTCCCGGATAGCCCAAACTGTTCAAGGCGTCGCCAGCACCGACCTGAGCTTGTGCACGTAGTGCGCATTAAGCCATACGTCAGCGAGTGACTCTGCGAGGCACCGTCGCTTCTACAAAGTGACTTCTTGCGCAAATTACTGTCTCAGCTATAGCATCGGGGCGATGCTCTTTTAAGGGGAGGCAAATGCCGCGCCCGAAACAAAGAACGAAGACGATGTGCGCGCCAACAGCCTCGTGAAAAGGGGGACTGAAGAAGACGACGTGCTTTTGTTTTTGCTTCGCCTGCTCTTGGCTCCTGCATAAAAACACACGCCGTCGGTTCTCGGACTCAACGTCTCGGTGCACTGCTTACGTTGAACCGCGACAATATATTATGTTAATTTTATTGCGATTGCAATTATATGGACACTCTCGGCTGGATTTTGCCGCCGGCGTCGCCCGTCACTCAACCTATATATATATATATATATATATATATATATATATATATATATATATATATATATATAATAATCAAGAACAAGAAAAAGGCTCCGGTGCGCGAAATAGAACGTCGAACTTACGAATCGTGAGTGCGAGGCGTTAGCCACTGAACCACGAAGCAGCACCTCCTTCAAAGTTTAAACAGCAAGCTATTTATATCTACCACTTACCACTGGTGATGAGCATCTCGGGGGAGACTATCGTGTTTTCAGCATTGCCAGCAAGATAACGCAATGAGCACGCGTCGCCACATCGTTACGACGCGGTGGCGCGCACTCTCATCTGCCACTCGTACTTTGCCCCGCGGACAGGGCCGGGTGGATGCTCACGCGTGCGCTTGCTTATCCCTCGGTGGGGACAATCATACGCCTTGGCTGCCCTGGGATTGCTTGGGAATAATTCTGTTGTTGTTACCGGGCGCGCAAAGGTGACTGCAGTCGTTGCACAGTCTCCGTTTGCGAAAAGGACGCGATTTTCAGACACAGCGAAGTAACAACTGGGACGCTTATTCGCGTTCATCTGTACCCGTGAGTACGTTTGGTGCGTCATTTATGCGTGAAAAACGCTCGGAGCGTTTCGATCTGCTTGCCATTCTGCGCGTGACCTTCCAACTTGTTGCATTTATTGCTTCGCCTTTGTGGCAAAGCTGTGACTTTCTGTCGTTGTCGCCGCACTCATTCGCTCGCCCATCAGAGTTATCGCATCCCACACCAGACGGGTCGGCGCACGTGTTCTGGGAATGAAGCAGACGAAGAGGAAGTAGACGACAAAAAAGAGCATCCTGGATGGTGATAATGATGATGGTTTTTTTATTTACACTGCTTGGACGAACGGTCGACGTAAACAGCTTCGATGTCAAATAAAATGTCAACAATAAATTCGCACAGTAACTTGCTAACTTGCGATGATAATACTTCTAGACGGGGAGGGTGGTCAAAAGACCAAGTGAACCACAGCTCTCTCCCCGTTTAACCGACTCCTTTTGTTATGAGCACTGCAAAATTTTAGTTTTTTTTAATTGTAAAGCTGGCTTTGCCACATAAAGAACTTTTGTGCAACAAAGCACGCTTTACAGAGCTCAATATCAAGGTCAATAGCTGTATCCGTGTGCCCCTGTGGCATTCTCAGTAGCAAGGAAAAGATGTCAAGGAAGACACCTGCCCATTAGTCGAACACCCGCATACTTCTCCAAGCATAAACATATCTCTTTCGAGGAGACCAACGCGCTTTGTTCCCAGTGAATCCACTTCCTAGTTTTGGACCTCATGCGTAGACTCGAATGCTTTGTAGATGTGATCTGGCAATGAACTCATGACAATGTAATATCACTTGTATTACCAGTTACTAGATCAATTAACTCAAAGACAAGAATCACAGCTTGCTGCGATCGCACAGATCACTTAAAAATTGGGAGAGAGACTAGTAATTATGGAGTTGTGGTCTGTGCGAACATCCACAAGATTGGCACTTTGTGTTTGGCTGAATGAAAACTGAACTACTCATATGCAATCCAATCAAAAGCAGACAGATCACAGTGAAATGGCAGTGAGCAGCAGTGTAATACTTACTATCTGAAGTTGCTTCATTGCTTTCGTCTTGATCTCGAAGGCGCTATGGACTATGAGATACTTTAGGTAAACTGTATCTCCCTGCAACGAAATGGATGAATAACCCATAAAGCAAATGACAATTAACTATAAACAATGTAAATATGACAAAATAGTAATTAAATTTATTAGGCAATAAAATTTGAACAATGACGATGTTGACGAGTGACACAATTATGTACATTGAACGTAGAAGTTCAGAGCGACAATTAAAATGTCAGAGGTGACCATTTGTCTACTGAAATGCTGTTCCTGAAAAAGGCTAGAAGGCACAAATTTTGGCCCCTTAATTGTAAGCTAATGAAGATTGAAAATGAGTACTAAGAGAACAATCTATATGAACAAGTACAAACCTTCGCCTTTAGCCTTGCACAATTAGGCCTTTCGTCGAGGCTGGCGTGCAGACTCTGAAGGCTGCTGTTGGTGTGTACCTGCCTGAGGGAATCGTGGGAGCCCTTCAGTATGTCTGGACGTTCGAAGTAGTAACCATCGAAAGCCTGCGTGGAAGGCAGCAACATGTCTGTTCATATTCAAACTCTATCAAGTGAAAGCTACAGAAAGAGCAGTGCACACTCAGAGAAAGATTTAGTAGCGTAAAGCGGCTCTATAGCAGGTGGCAGTGGTTTCTGATGCACGCAATAGCCTGAGATTTCAATTCTCTCTGACACATTGCCGCGGACGGAATTGGATTAAAAGTGTTGCAGCTATAAATGACGATGCGTGAGCTATGGCACCGCGTGGCTACAGATGTTGTGTGCAAGTTATGCCATAGCCTGAAAAACAAATGTAAGCATAGCTGAACAGAGAACAATTTGACTCATGGCTTAGCTTCATTGTTGACAAGGCTGTACCACGGCCTTTATTAATTTAATGGATCGCAGTAACACTGAGCCCCTCACTGCAACCCCGACCTCCATCCAGCCTTCATTGACGCGAAGCTTTGTCTTTTTATCAGCTTAGCTCGAGTTGCCTTCATTAAGGCATGTATAACATCAATCAGCGTGACTGCCAGAACGGCATGCAATCTTTTCGCCTCTTAAAGCATGGACCACTTGCTATGCCATTGTCCCCAATTTTCCTGACAGAGACAAGCACTTTAGAATACGGAGAGCAAGATGAAGTGCTTTCGGCGCAGGCGCTGCTGGGACACCGTCCAGAGGCATTCGCACATGGCCTTGTCCGAACACCGCAAACTTTGGCGCTGTCCCCTGTCTTTTTTTTTTCGTTCTCTTATACACTTCTATTTTTCTATCTCTATATATCTCTCTCACGCACGTTGCTATACCCATACCCAATCCACTAGTTTAGGGTAGCCAATCGGAAGCTTTTCTGGTGATTCTCTTCGCCTTTCTGTTGCTTTGCTTTTCTTCTTTTTGCACGCCATTAAATTCCAGCACACGTCGACAGGATCTAAAATAATTTTACATGACCGAGCCTACATACGTAAGAAAAATTAATTGTCCCGCTAGTAACGTGCACACTATTTAGTATACCTGCGCTTTAGTTTTCAACGCAACGTAAACAAAGAAGACACGATAATGGGAGAAGCACAGTGGCCTCATTAATTACCTCCCCGGTAGACACTTATTAATACATTGAGGTTGCTAATGGTTACACTGTCTTTACATCATAACTGAAAATGAAGTAATCTGCCAGGAAAATGAAGGAAGCTATATCGGCCACCCGACAGACGTCTCGAAAAAAATCCAGTCTTCGTCAGTAAGTACATCGGGCTCCGCCCCGTTGGAGCTAATGGAAATCCCCTGTAACTTTGGCGGCCATCGATATCAACCCACAAATGCCTTTGTTTGAATGATTCACGTAGCGAATCTCGCTGTAAGATTTTCTCTTGTTCCCTTCCCGCCGCCTGTTGTATCAGCAAGCGATACAAATACAAAATGAAATAGAATGGACGCTTTGTATATTTGGACATCGGCTCTTACATGAAACCACATTCACTGTTGGCAGATACAGTTGATTTCGTTTACATTTTATTGTTATGTTTGAGAAGCATAGTGTCGTAACTAGCTTTTTTGTGTATTGATGTAAACAAGCATGTGGGGCATTTCCCGATGCGACAGTTTTTATTTTCTGCAGGTACATTCCTGATAATTTCAAGGGAACACTGAACTCAAACAATGAATCAGTTTAGATTGATAATTTCTGTATGAGAGCCCTATTGTCTTAAATTTCACTACTATGGGTTATAAGAAGAGTTGGGGGTCGCTTAAGCTTCGCCTTTAAGAGATGATCGCGATAGCAATATTTTGTTCCCTGAGCGCTCTTCAAACACTTAGTATATGAAATTCTTTTCGAACTTGCTTATGTACCCACCACGTGGCCTTAAGGAGTGCAGGAGCGTATGTGCCTTTTGTAGTGAGTCGATGGCTTCAAACTATGAAGACATTGCAATAATCTCATGTTCTGACGCCTGGTGGCAGTATATACGCTTGTCTCAGGCATTATTACGGCACTATATCATGCTGTATTGTAAAACATGCACACAGGAGACGTGTTTTTGTAAAGCATAACAGTTACTTTCACTGAATTACCGAGCAGAGGAAGTTATTTTCACTGTATTTACAAGCAGAGGCGTCACTGTGCAAGAGAACGCACCTCTTGTTTGAACCTCTCCCAGACAGCAAATAAAGGTAAATCAGTCTTAAAACAACTAGTAAATGCGTTACACACCCAAGTGGTAAATTTTTTATCGCTGTAAAGGACGGATTCAAGTTTCCAAAGAGCCCGACGGGGACGGAACATTACATCGGAATTTTTACCTAGTCGAGCAATGACAATGCAGTTGTCCGTAAACGGTACCAGTTCTGCAACACAAGACCGCATTCACGGGTATGTTCGGAAAAGGTCTTTGTTAGATGAATTCGTTTTAGAGATGGTGAACTCTTGGGTGCTGTGTACTCACCACTGTGTCGCGATAGAAGAATAATGCACATATTAGTTATTTGGGTGTATTTGCATTACAGCTACGTTTAAAATAAATAAGTACCATAAAAAGAAAGAAAAAAAGGTGTGGCCGTGTGGTGGAACACCCGCTTCCACGCAAATGACCAGGGTTCGATTCCCATTCAGACCCGCAATGTTTCATTATTTATTTTACTTGCATGTTTCTCGATTTTTCAGTCACACAAAGAAGGCAGATTTCTAAGTCTCGCAAAGATGATGATTTTTCGCTCACAACCAACGACATCAACGCCGGGATACTCTGCGAAACGGGCTCTTTAACGCTATCGCGTTAAAGTCAAGGCCGAAGAAATCTCCAGGCACAACGCCGCGGACACCAGAGTGTAATTTTAGTTTTCTGGTGGCACTGGGCCAATGAAATCACCTGAGACGTGGTATATCAAGTATATTGTACCATCGGAGGACACTACTTCAGTTTTATGACCAGAAACTACGTAGGTTATAGTAGGCGCTATCGAAATACAAAATGTCATGGACTGACTTCAAAAATGTGTCGCCACCCAGAATTAATTTTCGCGCGTGCTTTCTCCACAAGCGTGGTCATTTCGGTATTGCGACAAAGTAATTTATTATTATGAGAAAATATTTTTCTCTATCGCACCATAATAAAAGCGTCTCGCGAGATCACTCACGTTTACTGAAACAGAACACATGAAACAGAACATTAGGCGGACATCAAGGTCATCTCAATATGTGTCAGCTGGTAAATAAAGTAACTAACGCTGACCTTTCCAGCAAATGCTCGTAAATGTCCCGTTTCTCTTAGGTTTCGCTCCACGCTTGTATTCATGCGATATACTTAGCCGCGTCGTTGTTTTTAGGTTGGCGTTTTATTAATTCATTTTAAGTTCCCATATTGCGTTCAAGTGGCACGTTATATTTTTATATCGAATAAGAAGTGAATACCGTGAGACAGGTTGACGCTGTATTGCTGCATCTCTGAGATATACCCAAATTTTTCACTGATGACAACGAACGACACCACAAAATGTTTTGAGCAACGTACTGCAAAAAAGAACGAACGTATTGATGTTTCAATCACAATTTCGAAACGATAAGCTATGAAATAAAATAAAATACATCTAATGATGTAACGCTAAGCTATGTATGTCGAATAAATTCAAATCGATACATCAGCCTGACTACACCCACTGCAAGGCAAAGGCCCCTTTGATGTTTTCTTTTTGCTCAAGGTAACTCGGTACTGTGCTTGCTTCATCCAAGTTATCTCTGCAAAATTTGTCATATCACCGGCCCACATAACCTCCTGCCTCCCTGTCCCGCGCATGTCGCCTCTGAGCCTTCATATTTGCGCTTAACTTGACCCAATCTCGAGCAGAACAGCACCAAGCATTTATTACGACAGTACCCGACAGAAGGCATAAGGGGCATTTTCGCAAACCACCAAAAAGATTCCATTGTGTTTTACCTGTGTTTTGAGAGATATTGACGCAGTGTCACAACAAATAAGTGAAACTGCAACGAAAGATAAGGCTGACAACAGACCAGCAAGGTGGGGCCCAATGTCATCTGCTTCGAAGATGATTAACTTTTCGCCAACAGTCTGATCCGGTAAAGAGGTGGAATTAACATGTTGAGTGAATACCCAGTACGTCAATGAAGTCTCATGAAGGAGGCGCTAATAGTGGTTTCTTTAACAACACCCAGTCGTTTGCGCACTTGAAAATATGCCTTAACTTTCCACATAAATCAACGCGTTAGTTGTGGTCAACTCAATGTTACAAGGACGCTCTTTGTGTTTTGTTTTTAGTGTATGGTTATTTAGTTACCATCAGATGCTTCACCAAACACAAGAAGTGACAGGCAGCGTTGGCGGCGTCAGCATTCCGCCAGGACGACGTCGCTACATGACATCATCACGACGTCGGAAGTGACCAGAATTGTGACGTTAACATTACATAGTAATGATTAAAGTTATTCAATCATACCAGGTGCGAAACTGCGTTCCGGAACCCGGTCACGCAACGGGCCGACTTTGCGGGAACTAGCACACTGTCGCGCCATATGGAAATGGACAATACAAAACACAAAATAATGCGTATAATAGTTGGTGTGCTGATCAACAGATGCCGCAAAAATCTTTACATTCCCGGCATCTGGCTGATGGCGTGTTCGGATTTTGATACATGGAGCCTATGGGGAGTTTCGCAACTCATATGATTGAATAAATCTGGTCATGACGTCCCATTATGAAGTCATCACATGACATCGTTACTTGGCCAAAAGTGGGATGATCGCGGAGGCAGTGCATCAAAGCCAGATAAGGTGCAAAATGGTCTAGAGTTTCATACAATAATAGTTAGAGAGGAGTGTGGCGCTGCGATCGTGTTCCTCCACTGGAAATTATGGGAAGTACAGGCTTCGGATTGGATAGGGTTAGCTAGCGAACTCTCTACAAACTTTTTTCTATAGTTTCAGTTTCGCTCTTCGTGCAGCGCGGGTAGTGGGGTGCAGGTGAAAAGCACTGCAGCAGCGCCATTGTTGTCCAAAGAGT